AACCGCGACTCTGTACGGTGTGGACGAGTACGATCCGACGAATTCGGTAGTGAAACGTCGTTCGAGTCCGCGGTGATCGTGTAAAGAGATTTTATCGTGATTTTATTCGTTTCTTCGGTGTATCGACGAGGATGGTGTTACAGAAGACAGAGATGCTGGTGTTGGATCGGAGATTCTCTTGATGGTAAACTGAAACGCTTGTTTTCTTTTTGTCACTTCGTGCATCGATTGTTGGTTAGGTTTTGTCGCGGTACACACGAGGCGTACACGCTTTATTATAACCGAGGTTATATCATCGGCGACTTCGCGCAATTTCGCATGCACCCAAGTTTGTGATTCGGATTTATACTTTTACTAAAGCAACCGTGTATCGTGATACACGTATCGATCGACTCGGTTGATCGATTTCGAGAACACGAGGCTGCGAAATTGCACGGCGTGGCTTGTACGAAAATCGTAATACGGCTCGTGTCTACCAGGCGGAGCGAGCGTCGCTCGTCGAGTCGCGCTTCGGATAAATTCGGGACAAATCGGAGGGCGTCCATCGTCGTGATTTCTTGCGAATATCGTGGAAAGCAGCGTGTCGATTCTCCGTGATTCGTCGTGAGTTCCTTTTGCTCCTCGAGATGCGCCGACGCCAAGCTATCTGCGAGAAGGTTAAAGCGTCTATTTTTCTACTGTGTCTCTGCAATTAGAGTTACGAGGTCGCGTTAAGGTGATCAGTTTCGTGTTGTTAATTACGAACGCTTATCGGTTGACATTCGCAAAAGTATCCGTGTCCCGTTGAAAAGTCAAATTTACATTCCATTCAGCGACCGCGTCCGGCTTTTCCGTGAGAATGAAATTTTTCTATCGGCGTGCGGAGAATCGAGACTCGGCTTTCGGTTGATTTTTAATACGTATAAGTTGGGAGAGAAAATTAGAAAAGGGGGGGGGGGAGAAGATACGATGTGGACAGGAGTGGCCAGAGAGAAGCGACGTAAGGTAGATTTATAGATGGCGTTGACGTATGCGACCGAATACGAGGTTTGTTGACGTCGTGATTTTTAGGCCGCGATTTATACGTGTCCCGGAAGCGAAGCTCGTCGCGTCACTTCCGGGACTATTTACACCGTAAGTGTACCTACGAATGCATATAAAAATACACGTTATATCAAGTACGAACACAGTGATACAGACACACGGACACACACACAAACACACGCTGGTCACTGATTTTAATTCAACACTCTCTCAATATCAATTATATGCGTATAGTAATTAATATGTGTAAAGAATGGAACGTTTGTATTTCGACTCAGGAAGAGAGTTTTCATTTTCTCTTTTTTCTTTGAACGATATGACGACGTAAACGACGACGATTATGATGATGGTGATGAGGGTGATGATCACTACGACGATGCAGCGGTAGAATTTTTAGGCTAATCATTTATTACACTTATGAGGAATGTCACTACTATAGTGTTACCACTTTGATTATTCAATAAAACGCGACGTTGACGGAATCGCTGTTGAATTCACATCTACGGTGCTTTATTATTTCATACCTAATTCATAATCCTGTCGATGGAAACCTTCCAAGATGGTCTAACAATAATTTTAATTCCTTCGAATATTATCCATAATTACAGTGATTGGAAGAATATTATTTTCATTTTATAATTTCACAATTCATCACAATGTGCAATTTCACCAATTTTCAGATTACCTTTGTGGACAGCAAAAATTCTGCCTTTTCCTCGCTCATTTAAATAACTTCCTCGTAGTATTATTAACCTAATTAATACTATCTCACTCTCAAAACACTAGACGGAACAAAACTGACGAAATATTGACAGAAAATATTCAATTGTTTGGTTCTATAGTTATGTAGTAGTAATAAATCAGTCTTCTGCAGTTTATTCTTTTTTAGAATAAACATAATCCAAATATTTCTACGGAATATTCAATTTCTTCAAATTTTAACAAGAGTATATATATATAATTTAAAATTTAGGGTAGTTTTATACTTATGACACGCAATGTATATGAACCTTCATATTTCAAATATGGTTTCTAAGATATACATAGATATCCCTAGATTCCTGACCTTTTCATAACCTCGCTTTATTCCTAAAATGAAGACAAAAATGACATTTCGAAAAATCGAATCTCGTTAAGATATACCGGCAATAAGTCCCAACATCGTCCAATAGCCTTTCAACAAGCCTCGTCTTCATCAAAACTCCCCTCTTTCAAATTTTAACAAGAATATATATAATTGAAAATTTAGGGTAGTTGTATACTTGCGACACGTAGTGTATATCAATCTACATATTTTAAAAATGATTTGTAAGATGTACATAGATATCCCTAGATTCCTAGCCCTCTCATAATCTCGTTTTATTTCTAGCAGTTAGTACCAAAATGAAGACAAAAATAAGTAAATTTCGAAAAATCGAATCTCGTTAAGATATACTGGCAACAAGTCCCAACATCGTCCAATAGCCTTTCGACAAGCCTCGTCTGCATCGGAACTCCCCTCTTTCGTGTCAAGCATCACGTGTTCATAAGCATCGCGGTACCCTGCACCAAAGCCTCCATTACCATTCCGGACGGTTAGTGTTCGTCGATGGAAGAATCCCGCCGGCGATTAGTGCGCGCTTCCGAGTAATTGCTCGCCGTTTTCCCAGCTCGATTCGACCCCGATGGCCCCGCGCCATCGAGATCGTTCGCTCGCGTGCTCTTTACCCAGTTCGCGATATTTAGGTCCATAAAGCACGCGAAGTCGAGCACCGAGAGCCGGTCGAACACGCTCGACCTCGTTATGCCGCTCGGCGATCGCGCCGTGGCGCCGTTTAGAGAGCTGAGCTATGCGCGCGCGGTCAGCTCGTGCCATTTATTCGTAGTACCGTCGTGCCACCGCGAGGTGTCGATGCTGTTCTCCACCTCGCGGACCGTTATCGCGCACTACGCTTTCGAGGTTATCGGCTTTCTTCCTTCACCACGATTTCTGGCCTTTGTTGCCGATAGCCAAGACTGTGCGATTTAGAGGTTAGTTCGGTTTCGGAATGAAATTGAGGTTAGGTGGGCTTGGGAATAAAATTGAGGTTAGAATCGCAGCTACGACTATTTGGAATTAGTAGGATGTGTAGTTGATGAATATATTACAGGGATTTAGTGCGAATAGTAATTAACAGGGTATGATGAATATACCTGGGACTTGGTTAATTGATAAATCTAGAAAAATATTAGTTAAATGGTATAATGTACATAGATATAGCTTGATATAGGGATTGGAGGGTATGTTAATTTTTCTATTCCGATTTTCTGATTTTCTTAGTGAGAATAGTAATTGACAGGGTATGATGAATATACCTGGGACTTGGTTAATTGATAAATCTAGAAAAATGTTAGTTAAATGGTATAATGTATATAGGTATAGCTTGATATAGGGATTGCAGAATATGTTAATTTTTCTTTTCCGATTTTCTGGTTTTCTTAATGAGAATAGTAATTGACAGGGTATGGCGAATGTATTTGGGAATTGGTTAATTAATAAATCTAGAAAAATATTAGTTAAATGGTACAATGTATATAGGTATAGCTTGATATAGGGATTGGAGAGTATGTTAATTTTTCTTTTCCGATTTTTTGATTTCCTTAGTGAGAATAGTAATTGACAGGGTATGAATAATGTATTTAGGAATTGGTTAATTGATAAATCTAGTAAAATATTATTTAAATAATACGATGTATATAGTTATAGTTTGATATAGTGATTAGAGAGTATATTAATTTTTCTTTTCTCATTTTCTGATACTGGAAGGTGATCGGAATAGAAAAATTCGAAAATGGAGTATAGAATGACGCGAATTCACGCAATTAGGTATCAGTGTACCAAAATAATTAATAAGTACATTAAAAATGATTGAAACGTGGCGTAGATAGGCCTAAATCTCGAGTATCGTACCCAATTTCTGGTAAATCGAGGAATTTGTTCGAATTAAGTAATAATGAACCACTTGAACAAGGTAGTAGACCATTGGAATGGTCGCGAAATAATCGCGCACGAGAATCTTCATCGTTTAACATTCGCCACGAGAAAATTGCATCAATTTCGATCGATTAAAACGTGATAGATCCCGGCAATCTCGCCGACTATTAACCCCACTGCGAAACGAGTCGGCGCTGTGTCCGATGGGGACGGGAAATTAATGAACCCTCGAAAGAGATATGTTGTCGGAATGTCGTTGGAATCTCATATCTCTGCCGTTTTTAATACCCGCGCGAAGAATTAAAAATCCGTGCATACACCAACGATAAAAGCATGTCCAAACAAGATACCAGTTCCACGGGCAGGGTCTGAGCGCCATCACGAACGGGCGGACGTGCGAGTTACTTAACCAGCATCGTTGAATAGCACTCGTGGTAATTGCATTACTTTTAAATCGAGAAATGCTGCCGTCACGGATCGTAAACTATCAGGCTGGGTCACGCGTGCATCCACGATAATTCGTAATTAGATACCTCGGAATTAAACTGAACAGCCTGTCGATGTAGACCCATCTTCCTAGACGTACGTCTGCCATCGTCTCGATTTCCACCAGCGTCCATCGAGATTAAGTTTTCCGCGACGAGGAAACGGATCTTGCCTCGTAACGCGGCGATGCAAAGTGATAAGAGGCTGATAAATAAGCGGGACAGGGGAGGGGGAAGATGTGAGGAAAAAATAGGGATATTTATTACAAGGTAACATTAACAGTTAGGATCAGTTGAACGTATCAGCCGATAGCATTCCGAATCGCGAAAAATTACACATCCTTTATTCGCATCGTTAGAACAAATTGCACGGTCTTCCTCGTAAAATTATATCGTTATATTATTCTGAAGTTATACGTACATCGATATGTATATCAGCCAGGTTACAATATCGGTAATTAGATAAACAGTTATGTCATAACGCTTGCATCGGGCCAGCCGCGTTCCAGGCTACTGAAACTTCGCTTTTTCCTACGGCGATGAAAAGCCTCCTGAATGCTTCTGCATACCGTTACACTTCCATATACTGCCACCTTATCGATCATCCGATTTTCTTTATTCGCGCGATCATTGTGCAGCGTGATTCACTTCGAGGCGATGATGGAATTCTGGGCGATGGGGAAATTCTGGGCGATAGTGGAATTCTGGGCGATTGTAAAATTCTGAGCGATGGTGGAATTCTGTACGATGGTGGAATTCTAGGCGATGGTGGAATTCTAGGCGATGGTGGAATTCTGGGCGATGGTGGAATTCTGGGCGAAGGTGGTATTCTGAGCGATGGTGGAATTCTGGGCAATAGTAGAATTTTTGGCGATGGGGGAATTCTGGACAATGGTGGAATTCTGGGCGATTGTAAAATTCTGAGCGATGGTGGAATTCTGGGCGAAGGTGGTATTCTGAGCGATGGTGGAATTCTGGGCAATAGTAGAATTTTTGGCAATGTAGGGATTCTGGACAATGGTGGAATTCTGTGTGATGGTGGAATTCTGGGCGATGGTGGAATTCTGTGTGATGGTGGAATTCTGGGCGATGGTGGAATTTTAGGCGATGGTGGAATTCTGTATGATGGTGGAATTCTGGGCGATGGTGGAATTCTGGGCGATTGTAAAATTCTGAGCGATGGTGGAATTCTGTACGATGGTGGAATTCTAGGCGATGGAGGAATTTTAGGCGATGGGGGAATTTTGGCAATGAAGGAATCCTAGATAATGGTGTAATTCTGTGCGATGGTGGAATTCTGAACAATGGTAGAATTCTGGGCGATGATGAAATTCTGTGCGATGGTGAAATTCTGGATGGTTTCTTTCGTTTAATGGTGCAATCATCTGTTAATTGGACGGATGAAAGAATGGAAGCATAGCAAATGGAAGAAGGTCGCCATTTTGGCTGATTTTCAAGAAGTTACTCCCTTTGCTAGTTGAGATTCAGAAATTGAGTAGTATACTTCCTGAATTTTGCTTATGATCGTTGAGAACTTAGTCTCATCTGCTTTGCGATCCCTAGATAGGAGACGAGATGTCGAGACGAGCAGTTGAGACGAGGAGCGAAAAATTGTTAGGTGCTACCTGATTTTGAGGTTATTTTCTGAGATAATTGAGATAACGACGTGGTAATTTCGCGCCGTGGTTCTTCAATTTTATACGAGCTTTCTTGCTCTTCTCTTTAGACTGCGTTTTCCTCCTTCGTTCGCTCTTGTATTCGTATCTAGATTCTTAGAAGCACTTGCTCGCTAGAGTTCACGTTTCGTATGCACGAGTCGTGTATCAAAGGATTAGTGGCCAGATATGAAATCACGTGGATAACGACGGGAAATTGTAAGAAACTACTTTGTAAGATCGAAATTGGAGAGATGATATCAGACGATCTTGATTATCTCGATCTTCTCATGCAGTCACTCGATAAGATTCGCTGTCAGCAAGAGATACTCTGGGATTTTTCATTTCCTGGAATTCACCTGTCACACCAAACATCGTTTGAGGGCCTGGAACACCTGTTGGAATACTTTCCTTGCATCGTTTTCACGAATTTTCACATTTCATTCAATAGATAAACATGGACAAGAAGATGATAAAGAACGTGTGTCCATGATCCACTATTTACTTATTTACTGTCAACTATCTTTTGATAAAAGCTACTCGTAACTAAATATCACAAAGAAGACCCTGCAGTGTAATGAATTTCACGATGAAACTCTCAGTAGCTTTCCAGTCGTTGGAACCATAAATTTCTCAATCTCAAATCTCTTAGTTCTCTATCAGAAGGGATTACACAGCTACCCAAAAGACAACCTACTGCAAAAATCCCCTAATCTAACACTATTTAACCACCTGTCAGTTCTATAATGTTCATAGCCTTCAGATTCTTCTCCAATTTTGCCACAAATTTTTCAACCAACCTCATCAGAGCAAATGCAAGTAAGTCATGGATAATTCAGAAGGAAGACCAACGACAAATAAATACCGATCTTCCAATCTACATCGATTCTAGAGGCCTAATAGAGGACCTAATAAAGGACCCCAAGGACCAAGCTCAGTCCAAGTCCAGCCGGCAAGCTCATCCTCGCGGTAACTCCAAGGAGCCAAGCCTGGACACCTAACCTGCAAGCATCCTCGCTGGATTCTCTCGTCAATGGCAACTCCAACGTTGAATCCAGCTGATCCAGCTCACCATTGCACCGAAATCCGAGGCAACGGGACCGAAAGCACCGACTAACCTTGTTTTAGAACGATCGTCAACGCGTTTGGAAGAATAATCACCGTCAGCCGCGCCAGGGGAGCTGGAAACTCGGTTCACTGTCGGACAGTAGATTTCCGGTCGAGTTTAGCCAGCGGAGGGAACGGCAGCAGGCAGTTCTCTGGCGAGCGAGAGTCCGCCAAGCTGGTTATTTTTAACCAGCCAACCTTGAACTTGCTGCCGCTGTGCTGCTCCTACTGCTGCTGCTGCTGCTGCTGCTGCTGCTGCTGCTGCTGTGATCCGATCACCAATAAAGGGACTTATCTAATTCTGAGAAAGGCGATCGGCTCTCTCGGCTAAAGGTAAGTACCCACGCTGTATTCCCAGCAGCAGCCTGCCTTGGACGTACGTTATACTACATCCTGGCCTCGGTACCGTGGCTCGGGGACACGCTCGAAAGGGACCTCTTAACATTCGCCAGTATATGTCCCACGACGTCGTTGCACCGTGGGGTTATGTTTAAAGATGTGGTCTTCCCCTGCTGGAACAATCGAACCGGGATATTCCTTGCTCCACGCTCAACGTTTCCAGATTTTTTAATTGATTTTCAGACAGGGGTGGGTCGTTACATGGGTGTGCCCCGTTGAGGAGGAAGTAGACTTAAGAGGGGGGTAAAGGAGACTGGGTTTTTAGAATTTGGGAAAAGGTGTTGCGAGTCAGTCAGTTCTGAGATGAGTTGCTTTCAGTTTAGGAGAGTGGAGGGTAAGATGATTGGAAGCTTCTTCAACTCTCTGGGGCACACTGGGATTAAAAGTGTCCCACCTGGGTTTTTGGAATTTGGGAAAGGGTGTTGCGAATCAGTCAGTTTTGAGATGAGTTACTTTCAGTTTAGGAGAGTGGAGGGTAAGATGATTGGAAGCTTCTTCAACTCTCTGGGGCACACTGGGATTAAAAGTGTCCCACCTGGGTTTTTGGAATTTGGGAAAGGGTGTTGCGAATCAGTCAGTTTTGAGATGAGTTACTTTCAGTTTAGGAGAGTGGAGGGTAAGATGATTGGAAGCTTCTTCAACTCTCTGGGGCACACTGGGATTATCACTAGAGCTACCAATCCAGTCAAAATGACTGGTCCCAGAATTTTCCTTTTTGCAATCACCGAACACAAACACCTGCTTTGAGAATAAAATTGGTATCAACTCGTATTAAGAAAGAACTGTAATCAATATTTTCACTCGTATTCATCGTATCGCTGAAATTACTATAATCTGTGCACCTTATAGTTAGGTACCCATTAAAGATCGGTAGTTCTAGTGTTAAAAAGGAGTTGTTGTTTATTAGACAAATTAGCAAAAAGTCCTACAGTTAGAGGTATCGTCGCCTTTTAACTCATTGTCAATCCAGTTCTCCAGCATAGAAGTAAATATAGGCAATGATAAACCTGACTCCGTCTATACTCGTCTCTTTAATCCACGAGAATCCAGTATTTTCCTCCGAATGGCCATAATATTTTATTTAAATAAACTTGTTTTATTATTAACACTAGAACTACCAACCCAGTCAAAATGACTGGTCCCAGAATTTTCCTTTTCGCAATCACCGAACACAAACACCTGCTTTAAGAATAAAATTGGTATCAACTCGTATTAAGAAAGAAATGTAATCAATATTTTCACTCGTATTCATCGTATCGTTGAAATGACTATATTCTATGCACGTTATAGTTAGGTACTCATTAAAAATCGGTAGTTCTAGCGTTAAAAGTGTCCCACCTTTTTAATACACCGTAATGCATGGTGGGACATTTTTAGTTGTTGCAACAGTTGCATGTGTATAGGTTTATATTTCGTCTTATTTACGTAAAGCATTTGGTAATACCTTTGACAAATGTTACAAATGTATTCACTTGTGTTGGTAACGTTCAACATATCAGTACAGGTTCATCGTTTGTTGCAAGTGGAAGATTTATTGTGATAATCTTTTTTTCCTGGTTTTATCTGAAAAATCGTGAAAATAAATTAATTTTTATGAAAATTAGTTCTATAGCAATTTTGTTTTATTTAAAATGCAATAAAATTTCTATGCAGTGGGTCTACTTTGCAAAGACTTAAGGGTCAGTTTCATGAGACTTTGACGTATCAGGAATTAGTACAGTGCTTTTGTACTGTAATAGAGTAGGGGTAGTCGAGGATAAATTAATAAAAATTGAAGAGGTATTTGGAAGCTGAGAAAGAATATCATTTTTTAATTTTCCAAGTAGACCTGGGGGTAAAAATCACGTTGAAAGTCGTTTGAAATATTTTTATCGTCTCGGGTAATTTCGGGAATTTTCCAATTCGGAAAATTGGTCCAAGATCTTCTAGACTGACCGTTGAACTTTCGAGATTAACTTTGTAGAATTTGGGTAAAAGGTTAACACAATGTGGTAGCAGTGAATGAAGGGGTCGGATAGCAAAGGTAGTTTATTAATTTTCCAAGGAATATTCGACCCGTTAATTTACCTGTGACGAATTTATTGGAAAGTGGATTTACTCCATAGTCTCGAAAAATAAGTTCTACTTGATGATTACTATTTGGGATTGGGCGATCGAGATACTCGTTTTCCGCACTTGAGATTGATTATCGAAGGGCTGATTTTACGACGGTTTGAACACTGAGGGATCGATGTAGCGTTTTCTAGCGGTTGTTAAATGTAATATTACAGAGTGTTTCCTTAACTATATCTTATAAATTGACCGGCACGGGAAAAATAGAATATGTCTCAGGGAATCGAGACGCAGAAAATGGGAGGTAACGATAGCCCGGTGTAGAAAAGAGACGAGCAAAGAGTTTAACTGCCCTGTGCTACCCTAAGGTAACTCGGTAAAGTGTGAATCAAAACCAACCTCGTAATCATCGAACCTGCTGCTTAACACTTTACTCACCGAGGATAATACGCTTATTATATATCTTTTCCCGTGGCTGAGAAATCCGGTTATGTACGAGAATAAAGACGCTTTTCAGTGATCATTACAATTCGTGTATTTTATAGCATGTGCTCACGAACTTTCAGGAAAACCATTATAAAGTAACTATAAGTTTAAAGTAACAAGTTATTATAAAACCACTTCAAAGTAATATTAAACTAACTTTACGAAGTAACGAGTTATAATGATGCGAAAGAAATTGTAGACGATCTAAAACTAACGAAGGGAGAACGACGGAAGATTCTGCCAACTGAACATCGATCGAATAACATCCTTATTAAATCAGGAAAAGCAAGAACAATATCGTATACCTTCCAGAAAATTGCTATAAAAGGATGAAAAATGAAAGATAAGTATTTACATAAGTGTTTCAGAGGAACCCTGAATCCATCCTTCAGCTATCACTTAAATTTTTCAGGCGTCATCACCTGGAAGCTGTCAATAGAGGGATCTCCGATCTGCTAATACGAGGCGAACTTGCAAGCAATTCATCCAGGTCAAGCAGAGTCTAAAGGTCAGAGTTTTAATCTACAACTACTTCTAAAGGTACTCTACACTAGAGATATCTCGGA